TTTTTTTATTACACGACTCGGGCAGTCAGAGGGCCAATAACTAAAATCAACCAATCAAAATGCTCTATTGCCGGTCCAATATTCTCCAAGTATTGGACCGGGCACTGTCCCGAGTGGTCCCGAATGATACCGCACTTGTGTCCCTTTGAACTTCAGTCGTGTAATAAATCTCTTATTAACCAAGCTTGCTCGGGACCACACTGGAAGAATATCAGCCCTCGGTCTTTTTTGTACGGACCTCGCTGCGCTTGGTCCGTACTGTCAAGACCTCAGGCCGATATTCTCCCAGTACGGCCCTCGCGCTTGGTTAATAAGATATATTTTATTGTCAACAGCTGGGGGTCTGGACAGTAGATGCATCTGTTAGTGGTCTGGGTGGCTGTCCCTACGCGCGCGGGGCATCTGGTAATGTCGCTACAGAAGATGTGGTTTACATGCTGCATGGAATGGGAATCGAAACGGTTTGTTTATTTATTTATTTATTTATTTATTTATAGTAACTTCCATTTAGTGACAAAGAATAATGATAAAAAAAAGGTACTAAATGAGGGACTAACGTACGGACTCGAAGTCCCAGCGAGGTCAGTCCCCATAAGTATATACTATACTAAAACTTATATAAACAAAAACAATAATCAACAACAGTTCTTTCTATTTGAATGTGTTTTCATTTGAATGTGATTTAAGTTTGTGTCAGAATAAATGTACTAAGTACCTAAGATCTTAGCGTTTCGAGCGTTGTAGTCCAGTGCCAATTAAAAAAGAAAAAACATGAAAAAAGAGACGTGTCCACGCCTTAAGTTGTATAGGTACCTAGGGTTCAGTTATTAAGGGAAAAAACCACAGCTACACATCGAAACGGTATGCTGAATAAAAATACCAAAAATATGTGAAGAAAGTATGAAAGAACAATAATAAAGAACAGTAACAGTTTTGTTTAAAACGACGCCCGTGAACGTTCAGGGTAAATGTCCAAGAGGCGCAAACCGTGACTAACTCCGTCCAGCCAGTCGATGATTGACGATAACTTTTTCGATTGCCTGCCTAACTTTAAACGTCTCTTCAATCCAAAAGCTTGTGAAAATCACCCTGTTGTATTTTTATTCTAAAGGGAATTGATTTGGACAAGTTAGTGGAAGCAGGACATTTCATCTGCCAAGCCTTGGATCGTAAAACCTCCTCGAAAGTAGCTCAAGCGAGAACAGACGGTCAGGAAGCAAAAAGCTGATAAATATCACAAGGAAGCGACTGGTGTTACTCTCAATGTCTCTCCATAAGGGTGTCACTTTCTCTCAGCGCTCAAAACAAATGTGTTCAATAAAACTGACAAAAGTTCAAATTAGATCTTAAACTGCTGTAAAATTGAAGTTAAAAAATCTTTTAAAAATCCAAGCTTTCGCCGATCTTCGGCATCTTCGGGGATGATTATCATGATAGGTCGTGATGTTGCCGTCGGCCGTGGATTGACTACAGCTTTAGATTTTTAAAAGCCTTATAACATTGATTTTACAGTAGTTTAAGGCCTCATTTGAACTTTTGTCAGTTTTATTCTCTAAAATGCTACTTAAGGACAACATTCAACGGTTATGCAATATTTGTGTAGCGAATCTGGTAATAAATAGACCCAGGAAAATTTCTGCAAGTTGTAATAGGTGTGCAGGATTTTCGCTCGACTGTTCGACTCGAAGATCTCAGGCACTGAACAGACTACTAAGTTTGTTAGTTTTTTATTTGTTTCTGTGTTTTATGATTTTGATCGGAACCAATAACTATCTGGTATCAGGTGTTCCGACTCAGCGCTGACTCTTTTTACGAGCTCCTCTTGTTGTACCCTTGACATATCACAAAAGGAAGTAGGTCAATTTTTCAGAATTATCCAATCTCTCGCACAAATACCAAAATTTGCATTGACAAATGTAGCGGATTTGAAGATCTTCTGGTAATGCGATTGAGAAACCAGCGGCTTGCAAGATAAAAAAAAAATCAACCATGACGACGACAACAACAAAACCAAAGAAAAGCTATGTAATATCAACCTAAGTAAAGCTGCCAACTCGTTTTCTCTGATAGCTTACGCGCCCATGATTTTGAAAAAATAACTCAAGATCTCATGTACTTCTATTCATTGATAAAAAATTACAATTACGAGTTTTCTTGTTCTGTTGTTGTTGGTTTTTTTTTTCTACGTCTGAATTCCTCTGCCTTCATTACCATGGTTACAACTATTCTAATGCCGATGAAATCGAGTGATCGCGATTACAAGGTTCCTTCCTCTAAGCTTCATCTTCTATAATGGTGACCTTGATGTATCGGATGCCAACTCGCTCGCCTTTGTCGCCTTTGTACACCTCCAAAGTAAGTCCTTTACTGAACATCAGTCGACTGTTGAAGCCAGCGGTCCTCACGAAGCCTCCGTCATGCGCGGTATAGCACGATCGCCAGCGTTGATCCAACTTAAGAGTTAAAACATACTGACCAGGGTAGAAAGAATCGCTTGGTTTTGGAGTAAGTGAATCGTAGCGTTGAGACGATAAGGTAGATCCGGAGACACCTTCCACTCCGCGGCAAGGAGACCGATCATTGTAGTTTCCCTTGTCATTTGTGACAAAACCAATCATTCTGTCACTATCTGACACGCCATATGCGATATCACTGTCGGTTACTTGACCCATGCCCACGTCATGTGCGACCGTGATCTCAATTGTCAGCGGCATTGAATCTCTAAGTGCACCAGCAGGAATCATGGGTAGCTTTAAAAGAGCAGCGTTGTCTACGTTGCCCGCGTTGAATGTGAGCTGTGCAGCGGTCAGTACACGTGAGCTGTCAATGTATGAGGCGTACATTTCCAGCCAGGATGTAGTCATGGTCTGATGATAAAAAACTCTTTCCTACAAATCAAACGAATTTGTGAATAATTTGATTGTTTGTGCTTACTATAATTGTTCAAATATTTTCGTCCGTCTGTTCGAGGAAGATAAGATCTGGGAGAGGGTTAGCTTCCCCAGTCCCCCGCCCCCGCAAAGCAACATTTTCCAATTTTCTAATCATAACCCTACACACAATAGGTTCTAGGGGTTAAAAGATTGAAAAGTTAATCATTTGAAGTCAATTAAAATACACTACTAGCAAGTTCATAACTGACCTGTGTTAAACAAGAATTCGCTGAACATGATGCCTGATGATAAAAAGAATGAGAAAAAAACCCTTAACAATTTATGACGAACACGAAATAAGAACTAAGATTTTTGCTGTGGTGACATATCCGAGATGTGAGATAAAATACATATTTAAGCGGAAAGAAAAATCGTAATTTAGAAGCAGCTAACTCATTTGAAAGGATAGACTTAAAACAGTTAAAAAATGAAAAAATTTGATTAAGTCTATTAAGAGACTAGTCATATTTACAACTGGGCCGGGGGGCTCGGGTCACAATAAACTACCTGATCCCCCCAAGGCTCTATAGTATTGTAATGACCCCCCTGAACATGAACAAGAGTCAGTTTTCCATAGTCACCCTTTATGCTCTGTGAGACTACTGAACCCTTCTCCGTTCCCTTGGAAAACAATGTGATTCTCTTCAAAATCTTCTGCTCCCTTCCCCCCCCCCCCCCACGAGATCATAAATTATGACTGTTCTCCTAACACTCATACTCAGAAGCTGCAAGGCGAGTTACTTTTGATTGTTCCCAGACTCTTCTCCGAATACTGTTAAAGTTTCGTTTTCCTTCGTTTGTCTTATTTTTTTTCTCATTCTTTTTTTAGCTAGTGTAATTAATATGAGATAAAAATCTTATTCAGTCAAGAAAATTACGTATTTATTTTTTCATTTTATCTTGGTCCTCGGAAAATTGGTTACATGTATAACTTGAATATATACGCTGTGTAATTTAAAATCTTCGGTCTCTTCAAAGTACTACAGACCCTTTGAGTTGAGTTTCACTGAATATTAAGGTTTTAAACGAAGCAAGAGTGGTTAAAACATTCAGCAAATGTATAAATGTTAAATAAAATTTTTGCACCCATAACTCATTGTGTTCTCATTCGATGCGCACTGTAATCGCTCGATAACCTTGGAGGGTCTTGGAGTCTTCTCTCGAGAAAAATTCGATGAAATTGCAATTCAAATCACAAGGGCGAAGCTTGGACACAGGCAGTTAAAATGAAATCGCCACCGCACAGTTTAATTTTGCACTGATATCGCATCTAATATTTCCTTCCTTTTTGCAAATTTCTCTTGTAAGTATATGTTAAAATTAAGACGAGTAATTAAACTTTTAAGAATAAAATGCCTTAAACGTATGAAAAGTAAAAAAGAACTTACAGATAAAGCACCAGCAAAACTGTAGACGACTGTTATCGCGAAGAAAAGAAACGTTTGTGACCTCATTATGTTGCTCTGCGACCGTCAGCTCGATAGATCGACGACTTGGATTGTTTAATTAAACCGCCATTTAAAGCGATCTGCCAAAAAATGTCCACGTCGTACACTGTATGTAGCCAAACTGTAAGATTATTTTGAACACAAAGGAGACTGAGTTTATTGTTAAGACTAAAGTTAAATTTCTATCTTGATCGATTTCTCTTGTTTAGTCAACTGGCCGAGAAAGTTAATGAGAACTGACGCTGTATTGATTCAACTGTTATTTCTAAAACTGCTAATTAATAAACCTCATTACACGACTCGGGCAGTCAGAGGGCCAATAACTAAAATCAACCAATCAAAATGCTCTATTGCCGGTCCAATATTCTCTCATTATTCTCTTTTTAAGAAAATTAAGATAGTAAAGGAAAAGGAAAAACTCTTTCGTAAAGCGTGATAAAATGCCTCAATGTGTTTGACAATTAAAAGATTCGAGGATTTTAAGGAGTCTTTCAGGCTTTCTGGAAGTCCAAGGTAAACTAATTTCTTGAAAACATAATTGTGTACTTTTAAAGAGAACAAACAGCATTACAAAGATAATGATTAATATTGTTCACACGCTTTTCGTCATTTCTGAATCGAATTTCTATCGCCTGTTCTCTACTAATCCCGTCCTGCGTCAAGAACATTTGATTCGGAATTAAATGTTCGTCCGAGAAGGCCCAGCATTTTTAAACGTCTACGGGAGAGGGGGGGAGGGAGGGAAGGCTCTTCGTACACCAGACCAAAGCCCCTGTAATTTCCACAAATGTCCATCAAATTGACAGCCATATGCGGCTGTTTCACTATGACTGTCGCCTAAATTATTTATGCACTCATTGGCAGCCACACATAATTTCTTTTTTTTTGCGATTTTGTAAGAACGATTTGTCATAAGATCACGAGACTGAATTTATCGCCATGACAATTAATACTATGCTAACAATGTTTCCAGCAAAAAATGAGGATGATGCCCTTGTAACTTGGGGTCGCCCCTTTGGCACTTGATTATCTTTGCGCCTTCACGAAGCATACATGCTACTCCTTCCCTTCTGCCGCTAGACTTAGTTCAACAGATTAAGTCACAAATCTGACAGCTTTTTACTAGCAATTGCAACTTTCTCCTTTATTTCTGATAGGACCATATTAATAAATTACCCACGTTCAGTCTACTTAGCCCGGTCTAATTACCACTACTTACTCATAATTTCAATATTCAAATAATGAGCAAACATTTCGAAAGATATTTCCAGTAAGAGTAAAACAAAGGAGCGAACTTCGGTTAACTTAACTGGTAAATAAAAACATTGAATTCGAATCTAAGACCAAAATGTCTTAGAGGCTTTGTTGAAGCTCTATTTACCTTCATTTACCAGCGATATCTGTTTAGGTTCACAGAATAAATCTAACTTTTAAGAGTAAGGATAAAACCCAAGTGTGCGAGTACTTAAAGGAGCAGTGTCACGGTGGGGCATGCGCAACACTACGCTTAAATTTCGACACATTTTCAAGCTGTCCGCCATCTTGAGTTTGTTAAGTGTCTTCAATATGTTGGCAAAATACCTGCTAATTTGCCTTCAAATACACTCAATCTTGGCCTGATTCATTTTCTTCTATTACATTTATAACATATGTTCTACTGGTTTCGTTTTTTTAAGTTATGGACACAGAAACTGGAATAGATTCCACTCCGGTAGGTTCGCTTCGTTCGAGTTTCCTTTGTAGGTGATTTGACTTGAAGTTATTGTAGGATGATTAACTAATGCTGCATTTGGCTGATTTGTTGGAAAATCGGGTATCTTTTGCGAAGTGCTGAGTCGTCTGCGCCCACTGCCCGCTCTACGGCCACCACCGCTAGACATCATAGCAAACGAACAAACCGTATTCAAGGGCCACAAACACCAGAGATGAATGGTACAAAAATGGTAACAAAAATGAAGAACGGATGTTTGCTTCACTTAATAACGACCTTGTTCGACGGTTCGACCAGGGGTGGCTTCGATTTACCGCGATATAAATCTATGTTTCGAATTCGCGACGGATTTGATAAAACTTTGTCAATTTTTTCAATATTTTAGTGGCGCAATGCGCATACGTCAACCGTGACGCTGCCCTTTAAATACATTTAAGCTAAGTATCAGTTTGTGCTACTTTCTATTACGCTGTGCAAGCTGTACAAGGTTATCCTAATTTTAAAATGGGAGTATAAATTTCTGTAACCGTACAAATAAAATGTAGTACGAGCAGTACTTTGATGTGAGTTGCTTACTGTTCTGAGCAAATTAAATCGAACTTTTGATTTTGTGTAACAATTGTAATTATTGTGCAGTCTATTCTCTTAGCACTGTTCGTCATGCGATCACAAGTTGTGTCTGTAAGTAAAACCTACTGCAAAACCGTTCCAATTACAGCTACATGTACTTCGCTCTACTTTCAAGTGGTATTGTCTATCGTTTTGTACAAGTTGATTTTACTTACTATTACCGTTATCGTTAAGAACATTTTATAAGAAATAACCTCTTCTACTTTGTACTTGTTTAGAAATGATTACAACAAGAAATAAATGTCCTTATACCTTCGCGAACTCCCGATATATCAGTGGAGAGGCAAGGAAGAACAAACCCTACTAACCAATTCAGAGAAATGATTTCCTTCTCGTTCTCTAATTTGCTGTGAAGATAATTGGAACCCACGCTCCTCCACAGTTTACCCGTTCTCATTGTGGAATGCTTGATATCAAACATTTTAGACCTCATTTTTCCTAACTTTCGCTTCATCAAATTAAGTAAAATTAATCCATTCATTTTAAGGAGAAGAATCGTTGTACACGATCGACTCCGCCCGAAATAAGGCGTACTTTATCGCTGCTTTAAATCAGCAAATTTTAAACGCTAAAAAAGATATCAGGATGAGACTATCAGCACTGTCACTATCAGATCAGCGGTTGCTGCGAATAAACCATCTGTGGCTGTGCGGGAAAACTTGGGTAACCTGTTGCGCTAGGTTGCGTTAAGGACTGGGCATAGTAATCCTGTGGTGCACTATGGGATGTATACTCGGGAGGTGCCGCAGGGAACCCCTGTTGGTAGGGAAGGTGCTGCTGCTGTTGATAGGAAATCGGTGGGGCTTGAACCTGCTGTTGGCTTGGGAACGTTTGTTGAACGTTGCTCGGTGGCTGCATTGGCGCCTGGGGAGAGGCACGATGAGCCTGGGTGGGCTGTGTGCGTTGATAGGGCGCTGAGGTAGCGTGGTTAAGCACGTGGCCCGCATAGGGTTGCACAGGACCTTGACTGGAATAGGCCGTGCTCTACAAAGAAAAAAAAGAATGGTTTAGAGTCAATCAGCCGTGAATGCATCTCTGAATCTACACTGAAGAACTCAGTTTCGGTTCTATCAATTTTGTCTAGTATAGCATCTCTATCGTACTCTCATACGTAAGATAAACAACGATCTTGCCAATGCACAAAGCGACAGTGTTCGATGGGCAACAGGGACAAGAACGCAGCCCACAAGTCGTCAGCACCGTGCCAGTAACCCGGTTGCGCCCCTACCACAACAACTCCGCTTCCTCATCTGCCAACCCGAAAAAGTCCAACCAGCAACACATTGAACTCATCGTCCAAAACCAATTTGCAATACTCATTAGCTGCCCGTCTGCAATCTATTCGTGCTTCGCTCGCGATCCGCAGGTACTCTTCCAGCACCCGTTCGCGTTCCACTCGCAACCTCTTTATGCCCATCAATCAAACCTTTAATATCGTTTCGATACACTGTTTATACTTCATAAATTTCACTTTTAAATGCAGGGCTTCAAAACTTCATCTCGCTCTGAGAGCTTTTAATACAACACCTTACAGATACCACAAACATTTCCTGCCCTACTCAGTATCAACAAAGCGACGAGCGACCAGTAAGCGACATAATTAATAGATAGAATACCACTCACCACGCCAGATGATCCCATTACAGTGCCAGGTTCGCCCATGTACTGAAGTGATGTAGGAGGGGAAACTTGGGGATAGCCTGCAGGATGTGGAGCATAAAGCTGGGGAGCCTGGAAACGAGTAAAGAGCAATTTTAAAAGTTTAAACAACGTCCTTTACTATATCAACCGTGTCATTTCCTTTATGAATTCCTTTTAAGGGCATATAGTAACCTGCAGTTAAAATTTAGCCCCTTAACAAGTTCTGAGATGAATAACAAAAACGGCACTATCTGCCAACACTTTCGTGTAAACTTTGCACACGTTTTGAGCTCCTTACTTGAGGATATTGTTGTCCTGCGGAACCTGGCACCTGATACATGCTCATGGAGGCCTGGGGACTGGCTCCATATCCATACGGAAGAGTGGGAACTGGTAAAGGCTCTTTCATTAACCTGAAAAATAACAGGTAGATGTAAGTGACATGTTTCTGTGTGACCTGCGTGACCTTGGTACAAGCCGCACATGAATGAAGGGGAATTTCCCTTGCTTTAAGTACCGCAATAATCAAAACTAAAACAAAACTTCTTGAAAGTGCTTGGTTATCCACGCCAGATTTTAAGTAAGAGAGAGATTAAGCACCGCGTTTACGTGAATGAACGGCAAGAGTGACCACGTAACCTTCTTACCTTCTTTTTCCCGCCATTTTTTCACGTTTGCCGGTTGCGCTTTGCCGTTTCTACGTGAAAGTAACCTCTTTCGCGTTCGCCGTGTACGCAAGATTTTCTTCGCTTTTTCTCTCACAGAATAGAAATTAATTGTTGGAAAAAGGGCACCAAAACTACTCCTTGTAAGTCATACCAGGGCGCCTTCAAATACACCAAGACGTGATCTCACGCAAAGCTAAAGCAGGAAGGTTTACGCTATTTTACATGTAACGTGAAAGAGTAAGCTGACGTTTGCTGTTTCCCGTAAACMCGGTGCTAAATCTCTCTAATAATACTACCACTGACGGGAGAACAACTCAGGAGTACTTGAATACATGTGTGATTTCAAATTGAATTTGAAGCTACAAGCTAGAAACTCAGAGTTTATGTCAGAATAGGCGTCTAATTGACACATCGCCCTGAATTTAATTTCATCGCTTTTTTTTGTTTTCAGGTGAACCGGGGCAACCAGCTGACTGACAAGATTTTCCTAGCCTTTGATTGGCTAGCATTGGTGAGGTAGTCCGCCAGCTTGCTACTCTCTTCAGTTCAATTATTGACTGATATCGAGTCTATGAGCATCAAGCAAGCGCAACTGTATCGCGAGAGAAATTGTGCCACCTACCTCTGGTACAAGCTCAGAGCTTGCAGATACTGTTCGTTCATTGCAGATAATTCCTGGCGTTTTCTGACAGAAAAAGTAACAACAAATAGTCAAAATCCGCTCAAAATGATTCCCATGAGTTAACCCCTTGACTCCTACGAGTGACCAAGACAGAATTTCTCCTTACAACATCAATATAAAATCAAGCAGAAGAGTGACGAGAATACAGACAAGATACCAATTAGCGAATTATAATATGATCCAATAACAGGCTCTCCGATCTAAAATCATGAGAATTTTATGGCAGACAGTAAAGACAACTAATTTATGAGATCTTGGGAGTGAAATATTTGAATGATTCTAATTTACCTCTCGCTCTCATCGATCTTTTCTGTGACAAGTGGTTCCATGCGGTTACATTCACCTGTGAGAGAAAAAAAAAACATCCCAAAAGTCATGAAATGCTCTGGCAATTTAATGAAGTTGTAATGAAAAACTGCAAGACATTTCTAAACAGCGAGGGTCAAGGAATAAAATCCGAGTGTACCACGAGAATTCGAACTACAGACTTTTGGATTTCACATTCAGATTCTCTATCAACTGAGCATCAGAGAACTCGTTGCCTAGATGAACCTTATACCCACTACACGAGTTTCACACGTGATAAGGTTCCCGCCATACGAGTTTCACACGTGATAAAGTTCCCGCTACACGAGCTTCACCCGTAATGAGGTTCCTGTACACTGCGAGGATACGTTATGCCTCACGTGCAAATTACATCCAGTGGACTTTGATTCGACTCCATTTTGCGACTGTCAAACACCATGGCCTTTTTATCTTGTACCACGGAAGCTATTTTGTTGCTCTATACCGCAAAATTAGGACAATAACTTGAACAAACCCTCCATGTCTTGTATTGTATCTTCCTCTTCATCTTCGCCTTCAATATTAGCTCCTTTCACCATGTTCGTGCACAGGTCGATCTTTTCCTACAGATAAATAACACGCGATTGATTACCCAATAAAATCTTGTGATCATCGCAGAGAAACCCTTTATTCAACACGAACAAAAATTCAAGAATTAGTAGGAATTACGTTCACTTCGCTGCTTAATTCACATAACCTCGTCAATAAAGAGGTTCGAATAGACATTAAAAACAATTCAAAAAAGAAATGAAGTTATTCTCGTCGTCGTTTCTGGTGTTTATATTCTTGGTTCTATTCTTACCTCACTGATCTCTGTTTTGACCGGGACTGAAGATGCTAAAAAGCAGAGTAAGAGTTTTAATGCTGGATGCTGCATATGTAAATTTATTAGTACAGTGTAGTAGAAAAAGCAAACAAGGCAGCATAATAATAAAAAAATTAAGAAAAATTTATTTCTGGGCGCACAAACGTTGATGTAAACTTTATTATTACCTTCTGTGTCCGCTTGATGTCTTGGTTCATCAGCCCACCGGACTTTTTTCTTGTCTATCTTGGCTGATGTTAAAAAACAAACAAACAAACAAACAAACATTGAGCCGACGTGGGAGACGAGCACATTCTCTCCCCATCTTGGAATATGGTTGGGGACCCCGAAATGAATCGTCCAGGTAAAGCCGACAAAATGCTTCGGTCTGGAATCCCATTCAAGAGAGGAAGCAATCCTCTTATACGCTTTATGCCAAGGCAACCGGAAAACACGAAGACTGTAGTTTTAAGTTCATATATAGGTACAGTTTCTTACACAGAGCGAAATTTTACCTCACCCACAGCAAATGTAAGATTTTTTAAAGGAAGGCGCGTTTTTGTTGCTTTTCGATAGAAAACGAAACGCCTTGTTCTTAAACACAGCACATATGCACATATAGGGATCCAAGACTGGACAAACCTCTTCCCAAGGTCGAGTCAAATTCCTACCCCCCCCCCTCGCTTAGGCGAGATAGAGATACCCCAGGGGTAGGATGAGAAGGGAGAAAACATGGACTGCAAGATGAGGAATTGAATATACACAGTAGAGTATAAATACTTACGACTCTCGGGTTCAGACAAGTCCGATGTTACAAAATTTGAAGGGAAAAGTCCAACTCCACGATGTGTTTCTCCCTTCCACCAGTTGACATCACTATGAAAAAAATAGATTCTCAAGGCTATATTGAAGCTTCAATTTTTCAAACAAATGGGACCTATAGTTTACACATCATTTGTCTCTTGGGGGAATGAGAGTGTTGAAGGCTCAAATGTTCTATAATCAACGCAGCTTCGTAAAGAAAAATTTCATAAATGTTTGACAAGCTGGGAACAAATCTGAGCCGATCGCTGGTCAAGGCCCTAAACTAGCTTCATCGCCTCCCATAAGCGAGCTGCATTCTGTAAATATCAGCAATTTTGAAAGTAGTTTCTGCGTGAAGATCAAATGAGGTCTTTAGCATTAATTTTGCTATGTGTGGTCGAGACCAATGCATAACATTTGCCTCCCATAAAAAAAGCAAAACAAACCTTTCTTTTTCAAATAGCATACCTGTCATCAAGAACAGAGATAATCTCTCCTGCCTTGAACGTAAGCTCATTGTCCTCAACTGCTTCAAAATCGTACAACGCTCTCACTTGTTTCGTCTCGACCTGTCGGAAGACAAGTCACGCTATCGTTACTGTCACATGTCAAGTCACGCTATCGTTACTGTCACGTGAAAGCAAATGCTAGGACTTACGATTTTAGGTACTTTTTTTTTTTAATCCTTTAACTTTTTGAGAGTTGAAAATTCAATTTAGAAGAGCAGCGACACAATCAGCAAAAGAAAAGATATTTGGCACGTTTAAACGAATAACTTCGAGAAATTGTAAAATACACTTTCAAATAAAATTAATTTTCAGATCCTCCACACTCTTCGATTTGACTTCAGACGAGATGTTTGCGACAACAACTGAATTAAAAGAAAAAAGAAAAAGAAAACAGTAATTGTAAATCTCTTCATTTCCTATTTCAAGAACCTAACCTAGCAGAAAATCAAGCAGAAACTCGTTAGACGCCGTCAATAACAATGTTTTAACTCAATAAATAAACAGACAACTGAAAGCGAAAATTCTGAATTTTTGCTGTTTGATATTCTTCTGATATTTAGCCAATATTTTAATTTACTACTCATTCCAATTTCCTTCAACCTTTTACACCCAGACATCAGTATGCATATTCTCCATACTGTTCTCTATACATTTCCTGAGGCGCTGACTAGGAGAATTTGTAAAACAATTGAGAACTTCTTAAGTAAATGATCATTTCATGTGGTCTCGTGATCCCTGTGCGTTAGTTAGGGGTTGATATTTTAAGGAGAAACTCAATGCTAACAACTCGGACGGGTCAAATGGCTAAGCCCTGAAAACCACGTCAGCACGGGTAGAGCGCGTGACATACAACAAGTACACGCGCGTGCTCACGCGGTAACGACATGAACACCACGAGATTCACGTTTATCAAATTATTCTAACTTAGAAAACAAGTTGGGTACCCTGTTATTCCGAAAAAGACATTGTAATATAGTATTAAGCAGCCATTGAACATCAGAGGGGAGGGGGGGTTGGGGGATTGAAAGATACTAACCCTTCTTGAAGGCGCTGGTGCAAGTGCAGTAAAGCTTGGATACAAACTAGACACTTTGGGCTGCAGAAATAAAGAAGTATATTGAAAAAAAAAATCATTAATTAATAAATTGAATCATATCTCGTCAAACTTTTCAAGGAAGACTTAGTATAGTTGTGAGCCTTAAGTACAGATAGAAGCTGCAAGCTAACCTACAGTCAAACTAAGTGAAGCGTACCCCTTAGGATTACATTAATGATTTGATTATTTGAATATTAAACCCGCTAACAGTTTCAGGAGCGCAATAACAAATTGAATATTTCAACATGCAACCCGCTAACCGTTTCAAGAATACAATAATGGGTTGATTATTTGAATATTGAACCCGATAGCCGTATTCGTTTTGAAAAGGCGCGGATCATTGTCCAAATCAGAAGTCCATTTTTGATTGGATTATGCGAATACGTGATGATGGATCGAAACTATTTCAACATGGCCTCAGATATGGGGGGAAAGGTGAGTTTGAGGGTTGTGTAGAACTTCTTGTAAATGTTGTATAATGGAATGTTATTGAGAGCTTTTTTCGCATATTTACATCTTGACGAACTTATAGAAATTCTTGTGTGTATTCATGGTCGAAAAAAAATAGTTTACGGGCGAAGCCATCCCAAGACTTTTTTTATTTCGTTAATATTTGTGATCGACTGTTTTCGCAGTGTTTTTACAATGCAGTTTGTTCATTTTCAGGATTCCTCGTCAAATAGAACAATCTTATTGGACTTCAGAAATGGGCTTCTAATCTCAACAACGATCCGCGCCTTTTCAAAACGCATACGGTTATCGGGTTCAATATTCAAATAATCAATTCATTATTGCATTCGTGAAACGGCTAGCGGGTTCAATAATCAAATAATCAATTCACTTAGTTTGACTGTAACAACAGTGTTTATTAGCGCGTTAGTTTGATGCTAGAATAGTTTCAATTTACCTAAAAAATACTAGAACTGATCTTTAACCAAAAATATTGCTGAGCAACTTGGGAAATACACAGATAACTGTAATAAAGTTAACATAATTTCAAACTATTTCCAATCTCAACAACGTTAGAAATTCAAGATGTTTTAAACTGTACCTTGCCTGCTTCTGCTTCTTGAAGGGACAACTCAATTGCTGTAAAAAATTATTTATTGTAAGTTGTATTTACACGTCTATGATACAACTTTTTGCCTGAATACTTGAATATTCTCAGAGCTAATACTGCGAGAAGTTGTTCTGCCAAAAGTGGGAAGAAATGATACTGAGATTTAAGAGTAAAAGGGGCAAAAATTGAACATTACTTGCCGCGCATTCAAAGAAAAAAAACTACTACAATGGTCATATTACTGGACCAAAACTACTTGCAAACAACCCAACATGATAACTATGAACTTGCCAATAAACGGAAACAAGAAGTCCTTAATAACCCACTGAACACTTTTATGGCACACTGTCAAAAAGCAGTGTTGCCGGCATTGGGGGTATTTAATATTTACAGTTAGCAGCAATGTAAACATTTATCCCTGACATTTATATGTAGTCATGTACAGATTTTTAACAAGCTCTCTGTGAGCAGGCCCTATTACTCATTATTAGCAATGCAGGACAAGGGTTTCTCTAACAGGAGCCAAATAATAATACAGTTGAACCTCTGCTTACAGCCACCTCTCCATGAAGACCACTTTTTTCAGTGTCAAAGAACTGTCCATACACTCATTAACCCTTTAACTCTCAAGATCTGATTGTGAATTCTCCCCTCTAGCTGATACACGTTTCCTTGTAAATTGGTTACAAGAATTTGGTGTTCAATCAAGGTACCAACTTATTACTGATGAGCCTGTGGATTCTCATTACCTGTTTGCTGGATCGTGTATGAATATTATAGAGAGAAGTTACATGTTGATCACTTCTGGGAGCCAAAGGGTTAAAACTTCTTGACAACAGCCACCTCTTCACTACAGCCACTTTCTTCTGTTATCATGGTAGCCATTTTGGAGAGGTTCCATTGTATGTGGCTTTGCTAAATACTAAATGATTCATAATGATCACACAAAGGATCATTCCATAAAAAATCATTCCTGGATGGGGCATGTTAATGTAATTATTGTCGAGAGGGCAGGAATTTAAATGAATAAATTGTTAAAAGTTCAAGAGCTCAGGGGGTTGCCAGGGTAGGGTGGGGGGATGGGTGGGGGTGTTGAAGCTTTGAATAGATCAACCTATTAATAAACATACAAAGTTATTAGAGCATAACAGCACTATAAATTACTATCAACTGCACATGAATGCAAACCTTTTGCTAAATCTTCATCCTCTTGCTGAGGGGAGGCAGTTGATGATGATGCCGATGGATGTGTTGATAAACTTGCTGAGCTTGAACTTGAATCCTACAACAATTTATATATAAATATAACTATTTTAATGTACTTTATGCTAATACTTGATAGAAAAAAAAAAAAAGACTTCCTAACAAAACAGAGATAATATCTGGCAAAATAAATCAAAATTTAAAAAATTTCCAAACACTTCAAATAAACTTACTCTGCTATCAGAAAACTCAACCCCTTCAGCTTTAAGTTCTTTGTAAAGTGATGGTATTAAACTGAAATTGTAACAGAGAGCATTTGTAACCAAAATGTTATATTTTAACAAAAGA